AAGATTATTATTATTGCTGTTAAAAGTAAAGATGATTATTATTGTTATTATTAAAATTTATACGAATAAAAAATATTAATGCTGATATCAATTACATCAAGGTAACTTTTTATTTATATATCTGGTTGTATTTTCTTTACGAAGTCCAAATTTGTGCAATTTGCAAACAACAAAGTTGGTATGTATTTTTTAAACTCGGATAAACTCCCTCCTATGTAAAACATGTATATATGTATAAAACATATATAAAATATAAGTTTTGGTGGAAAATCAAAATTTTTTTTTCTTTCAAATTTTTCTCCTTTTGTTTAAATTTTTTTTTAAAAACAAAAATCACGAAAATGTTAATATATAATATTAACAGTGGAAGTTAAGAATAGAAACAGTGATTTATTTAATTCTTTATTTTATTGTCATAATATGTGGAAGGATATAACTTTATAAGGTTACACTTAAGCAGGAACGAAACGTTCGTACGCCCAGTTAAGAAAATAAAGGAAAAAATTTTGTTTAAATTGAAACTGTAAATGAAATTCCTTTGTAGGAGAAAAAAAATTGACTAATAGAACGGGCTTTCACTGAGCACTTATGAGTTCTGTGTTGAGCGGGATGGTAAGTAGTAAGTTAATATTTAAACTTCTGCACTGGAAACCGTCTGTACTTATATGTAACACTCAAGAGGATGATTAAAACAAGCCAAATGATGATATGTTCAACAGAGGCACAAAGCCATATAGAAAATATTTAAATTACATAAAATGTGTTTTCATTTTTTTTAAAGATAGGTCCTACTAACAGTAAGTTGTTTTGAACGATCTGGATTTCGATCCTACAGCTCATCATCAGAATCAAGGAGTTCTACTACTTGATGATGAGCTGTAGGCTCGGAATCCGGATTGTTGTAAACAACTTACTGTGAGTAGGAACTATCGTTTAAAAAGATTGGACAACACACTCACTCCATCATTTATCTTTTCAATGTTTTTTCATTGGCTACCAAGCCCTATGGGTATGAACACTCGGACACGTGTCTAACATTTTTCAACTTACTAATATATTACCAAAAAAGTTTCATTAAAATCATCGATCCCTTGTAGACTTTACTATTGGCACATAAACTTTTATTTGATAGACAACAAATCGTAACAGCGAGCAAAGTAAATAGACGCTGGAGAAAGGTACCTAACGATTATTGCGACCGGTTCTTATGGCTTGTCACATAAATTCTTTATTTTTTTCCTTATAGGTTCACGTAAATAAGACCGTTCCTGAAGAGGGAAAACACAGTTGCTGGTATGGCAATATTAGCACTTGTAAGAGTTGTTTCCTTAATTGATTAAGGATAGGATCTTAGGACCTTAAATGATTAAGGTCATAAGAATAGATAAATTTATATATTAAACTCTTGGTTTTTAAGTATTTCTAATCTTTCTTTTTGCATGAACACGATGTTTACAAAAAAACTTTCGGCGAAATTTAGTCGATGTATAACTTACAGCTGAGAAATGAACAAGATTATATTAGTAAAATAATTATTTTAGAAAGTATATAGTTAATCAGTAACAAATGTATTTTTCTATTATATTAACTGAAATTTACCTTATGCGTCTAGATACTTGCTGCCACTTTAATCATGATGTATCAAGAATTATTGCAAGATAGGTATTTAATTTTTTGTTGTGGAAAAATTGTTTGAAATTTATTCTGAAACTATCATTAATTAGAACGATTGTATGCGGTTTGCATGTTATATTTGTATATAAAACTTGATTCATCTCGACTTCTGTCTGAGATGGTGCTTCCCTTGCACTTTCTGCAATCTTGCAAAATTTCGAAACCGGTCCGCCCTTAATGTACGGAAAGGATAGACCTTCCTTCCTTCCTGGCACAAACTTTCAGTAGGCAAACATCCAATATATTAAGTCCTAACGACCACGTCCCGGCATAATTTTACGATCAAAAAAATAGCCTGTCTAAACGGCGTGTTAAAAGTAATCTTCTCCGGCACTAAATCCTACCGCAATGGGGTTCATTTGAAAAGTTTTGATTTGGTTAATATGAATGCTTTTGGGTATTTACAATTAGATTCACTCGTCGTGCTAGCTTTAGACTCCAATTAATTATTCACATTAAAACTAATTATAATGATCCATATGTTCTTTAGTTGGTGCTTAACCGAAGTACTGACTTAAATTGATTTATAATTTTTATATGAAGTGTGGTTGAGATTAAAAATTATTGTCACCAGCGGGACTCGAACCTACAACCTCTCGGCTTTATATCCCGGTGCTCTAACCACTCGAGATATCGTGACTACGCTCCCTCGAGACACCAGCTTATTAACATCTGAACCTACGACCTTTTCAAGTTTTCCCTCTTTTTTGGCATATATTGAAATTTCTTGTAATCATATTCGATTATCGGTGACTCGGGGAAACGGAAGTGCAGATACTTCAGAATTGAAAAAATGAATGAAAAATGTACTTTAGTAAATAAATAAATGGAAATAATCTTTTACAGCTTAACTATGCACAGAATAATACAAAGCACATTACAACCGTCTGCCGGAGGTCGGAATCTAAGTTTCAAAAGCTAACAGAACATAAAATTGGTTATTATAAAACTAAGTTTAAAAAAAATAAATTAAAATTATATTAATTATTAAAAATAATTAATAATTATTATATTTATCCATGTGTTTTTCAGTTGGTCCTAATCGACCAAAGCAATGATTTAATTGATGTATTATTTTATGCAAAGTGTGGTTGAAAAATTAGTTAATTAAAACCAATTTTGAAACCATTAGCCAAAAAATGAGAGATAATAAAATTATTTTAGAAAAAATAATAAAAATAAAATAAAGTAACGATAGTTTCAAATATATAATACCAAAAAACCAATAGCAACTAACAATATTCTAACTATACCATAAGCTATATGATACCAAAAAATCAAGTTAATTATTTGATAATATGTACATACTTAAAACATCACTACGGAAAAAAGTCTTTATACTCATTGGGTGTAAACTTGGTGATTTAATGAGATATTTTTTTTGATATCAGTTTTTCAAATTATTTTTTAATAATATAACTTTATTATCAAAATATTAATTTTTTTTACAAACATATATAAATATATTTATACAATAAATTGTTTAAATTGACTATACACTTGTGTTGACAGAAAAGGATTTTTTGGTGTTAGGTAGGAGGACAATAAACACCGTATTAGGTAGCTTCTCTTCGAAGGAAGATGTTTATTCTTCTATTAGATAATCTCAAGCCTGCGAAGTCGTATTATCAAAAAGGCCATGGGAATTTATAATGTTTTTGTATTTATGTGACTATATGACTGACCTGTAATGACATGAATTTATATATCGTTAATATTTCAAATTTTTCCTCATTCTTTTCTTTCTATTTAGCATTGGGATTCTCGTTCTTTTCTGGATCGTAGTCAGTCGTTCTATTGTTGTTTCGTGATTTATATCGACATCAATTTTAACGAACATTTAGATATGTACAATAAATGTTACTAACTTTCATAGATCTATTGAAACTTCACTTCAATTTACCTGAATAATTAAACTTACACTCCGTAGTAAAAACCGAGAATTTTCCGATATTCCCGTGTCAATATAATTTTGGTAGATGTCACTATGGAAAAAAGGGAAAAATGAGAATAGCGGGCGATAACAAATCCCTCATGCACCCATTTATGTTTATTAGAACCAAAAAAAATTTCATGCATTAATACTTATGATAAAATTATAATAATTTTCGCGACAAGGTTCAAGTTTATTTAAGACTCATTTTTGTTTTTTAACCAAGTTATAAGTAAAAAACAAAACGAGACAACACGCGTACAGTAACAGTTGAACAGGAAACAGTCAACTGAGATGTACACACGTTTCAACTTGAAAGGTCATCACTTAACAAGTCGGGAATGAATGACAAGACTTTTGATTAAATAAAAGTCACTAGTTTTCGTGGTTCGCTTGACCAATTAATATCTTTTAATTAATTGAAAAATGGCAAAAAGGTGGGGGAGATGGGAAGTTACTGTCCAAGTGGATCGCAGTCACGTTAGCTCATGTAGTAGATTAGCGGCGTATCTAGAATAAGTTGGTGGGTTCGAATCCCGCTCCTGACACTGACTTTTTTATCTCAACTAAAAACCTTAATTAATTAAATAAAACTTTAGTCGAGAAGCTAAAATGTAGACAAACTCTCTCTCTCTCTCTTTCTCTCTCTCTCTCTTTCTGTCACTCTCTCTCATTCTCTCTCTCTATCGCTATCTCTTTCTCTCACTCTCACTCTCTGTGAGCGTGCGCGCACATTTCTGTTTATTTCTGTTCTCTTTGTTTTAACAAAATTTCAAATATTACGTCAATTAATAATATACTTTAACGCACTGGACTAAATACATTATTTAATTCGTAATAATAATACAATAATAATAAGTACGCATTATTTTCATCTCGAACGAGTATAGATTCAGAATTTGTTTAAATTTTCTGTTTGAAAAGTGTATTTTTGGACTTTTACATTTTTTTATATTGTTGCAAAAGAGTGTTTTTTCTGAAATTTTTTAAATGGTATTTGGACCACGTATCATTATACAAAAGTACAAATTTTTAAAATGCAATGTAGTTTATCATTGTTCCATAATTTTTGTGTGCAAATTTTATTTATTTAAATAATTTTTATATTGGAGAAATATTTATTTTGTTTCATTTCGACGAATAGTTTTATAATTCATATACTTTGCAGCTTAGCACGACAGACCTAACAATAGGTAGATTAATGTAGCAAGCTTTTTTGTTGACAGAATTACTAGCAATACAATCTTCAGAATAAATAAAAATAAAATATTTGTTTCCCAAGTTCCCCTTTTTTTATCTGATTCCAATATATAGAAAATTTCGATGCTGCATTTTTTTAAACATAATTTACGGTTTCTGTTTTAAACTATGTATGGAAATAAAAAGCAAAAAATATAAAATAATGCTTTATTGTAGCGTATTTAAACAAAAAGAAGGGTATAAAAGTTATCACAAAATAATGGACAAATGTCCACCCGTGATTTTGAGGCCACATTTTTTTAATACTATGTACAATGCATGCCATGTTTCAGGCATAAATATAAATAAAAAAATCTTACATCTGTACTGTTCTTAAAAAAACAAAAGGGATTGGCACAAGAGGGAAAGGGAGTCGGGATTGGTTGAAGTGTTTTTGGTACCTTGAGCTTTCCGATCATGTCATTATGCATAATCCGCTTAAAATGTTTTATTTGGTTGAAATTATTCTTGTTTAATCGGAACATCTTTTGACCATTCCTTTGAAGAATGGTGTAAGAGGTTTCCAAAAGATCAGAATATGCAAAATCATTTTCAGCGGAAAGTCAAATAAATAAATAAAGGTAAGTGCGAGGCCCAGGTTAGTAAGGCCCGCTTCCTCCTTGTTGGGGTGATGCGAATGTGCGCCCAGGGCTGGAGCCGGCTTGCTGCGGGTACTGCGGTTCTCCTTGGTACTTGACGTCTGCGTTGTAGCCGTTTTTCCAGTCGGCGACGTAAGAAACGATCTGCAGCCGGCCGTCGGGAAGCAGCACCTTGTACTCTCCCTTGACGACATCACCGTCGGAAACAGCGTTGTGGCTGTAATCAGTGCCGTAATAGTCGTCTTTAACAGCGTAGTTAAAGTCAAAAGGCATGCCAGGTTCGTGGTGGTGGTGGTCGTGGTGATCGTGTCCGCCTCCATCGTGGCTTCCCTGCTAAATCGCAAAACAACCAATTTCATTAAAAAGAACAATAGATCATCAATACCAGAAAATAAGTTTCTTTTTCGACCTATGACCTAATATCTAGGTGAATTGGTTGTCCAATTTTTATTTTCTTAATTTGACTTTTTAAGTTATCCAATATTCGTTTAATATGATTAGTAAGTTTGATTGATTCCTTATAAGCTGAACTAGTCATTTGCCATCATTATTGACCATCTACCTATTCAATTAATTACCAGATCATAACATCAATGAATTCAAATGAATAACCATTTTTAAAATAACAACGTTGCAACTGATTTTGCAATTTTTTTGGAGGTTAAGATTATCTAATTAATCTTTTAAGTAATAGTTTGCACAACAATTAAGTTCTTCGGCAACACTTATGAGAAAAGAGGGTGAGATTCTGTGAAGCAATCCGCCTGAAAATCATGAGAAAACTAGTCCGACTGTATAATTATCTCATTAAACTATCCAACTTGCTACAAGAAACATCCACGATTGCTTACGGGAATTCTTATTCCTTATGGGGATACACTTTTTCGAGGTCAAGTACACGCGGATCTCAAAAAACGTAATTATAATTTTTCAATATTTGGTAGAAAAGTTAGTCAATTTCTCACAACTTTAAGGCAACGTACGAATAAATGTACCAGGTTATAAGATGCAATTGACTCTTCAGGTATTTGTAAGAATAGTTATTCTGAGTAGTATACTTCGTACTTAGTATGGTAGAGATACCGGTTGTACAGTAAGGCAAAGCTAGTTTTCTGTTATAACTTACGCCTGGGAATGGAGAATGTTGAGGTCCTTGCGGTGATTGAGATGAAGGTCGGTAACCGCTGCCTTCGGTAGGAGGTCCTGAAGGACCAGGAGGGCTGAATTGTGGTGGTCTAGGCGCAGGGGGTGCTGGTGGACGGACTGCGGGAGGACCGTATGAAGGTTGAGGAGGGCGGGGAGCTGGTGGACCGTATGAGGGTTGTGGTGGTCTAGGAGCAGGGGGTTTATAGGTGGGCTGTTGAGGACGAGGAGCTGGTGGGCTGAAAGTGGGCTGTGGAGGACGAGGAGCCGGGGGACCGTAAGTAGGCTGTGGAGGACGAGGAGCTGGTGGACCGTAAGAGGGTTGCGGTGGTCTAGGAGCAGGAGGATTATAGGTGGGCTGTTGAGGACGAGGAGCTGGTGGACCGTATGAGGGTTGTGGTGGTCGAGGAGCAGGAGGATTGTAGGTGGGCTGTTGAGGACGAGGAGCGGGAGGACCGTAAGTCGGCTGTGGTGGTCGAGGAGCAGGTGGGCTAAAACTGGGCTGCCATAAGTCGGCTGTGGTGGTCGAGGAGCAGGTGGGCTAAAACTGGGCTGTGGAGGACGAGGAGCCGGGGGACCGTAAGTCGGCTGTGGTGGTCGAGGAGCAGGTGGGCTGAACGTCGGCTGTTGTGGTCGAGGCGCCGGTGGTGCTGGCCTAGGTGGAGATGGGAAAGGCTGAGAAGGCTTTGGATAATTGTACCCTCCAGTGGCCGGTGGAAGGTATTGATTGTTGACTGGTGGCTCTGCTAAAACTGCTCCTAAACATAGCACAGCCACACTTATCTGTAACATACAACGAAGTGTTTAAATGGTGTAAATAAATTTAATTTATTTAGAAATAGTTCTTCTTGACCAACAATTACATCTAAATAGGTCGTAGTGAATCGTATAACGTGACAATTGAAATTTACCATATCATGCAAGTGAGTATTTTACAATGCAAAGGTCAGACCTTCATTTTCACCTCAATATCGCGACCTTTACCTTTTGCATCATTTTTAAAAATTTTGTAACGCCTTTGGAAAAACAAAATGACGAGTTTAGGACGGTTTCGGCCGAAGGCCCAAATCGGATATAACGTGGCTGCTAAAACGACAAAGGGCCGTTTAGCCAGTGGAAAATGAGCTACTGCGTCTTCCAACAGATGTTAAAGGGCAGATGAAGCAACCTCGTAAAACTGTTGCTGGGATTGCAACTCTTCTGACCTATTCGCGCCATCGCACGTCAACCGCGGTAACAACCTCTCGTTAATACTGTTGGATAATCCGGTTGTAAGTGCTATCATGAACACGTCCTCATGTACCGGAACCCATGCCTTCGTTCAATTGAAATTTACGCATTATGAAATCCCTTGACCCTTGAAAATATGTATTTTGACACAATTTCTAAATTACGCTGGAATTAATTTCTGAAAGCTAAATAATGAATATGCCGGAATAGTAAAAAGTGATTGATTACAGTAAGTTTAAATTATGTTGCAAAAATAAAAATTCATCACAGGATACAAAATATTCTAAAACATAAAAACAGATATTTTCGTTGGTTTTTGTACTTGTAGTCGTGTAATTATGCTTAAAATGATCTCTTTTTGCTTAAAGAACATAAAAAAGCGTTGATGTACATGTATAAAAGACTTTTATCAATAACTCAAATTATGAAAAGTTATAGTTCTACTTACATAAAATTAAAAAGAAGCAAAATAATTGGTAATCTTTTTAATGTGACACAATTGATAATGAAATTAAATTTAACGAAATAGAGGCAGTATGTCACAAACATTTCAACTTTAATAGTTTTTTAAAATATGTTGCGGTAATAAAAACGTAAAGATCAATAATGTAGTGCAATTTTTTCCCCTAGATAAGACGGTTTTATATTTTGTCAAGCCAAAATTTATTTAATATATTTATGTCTCAGTGATGTATAACTTTACAATTTTGCAAAACACGTGTTGAACTATCTCTGTGGCAACGTGGGCAGGGAGCCTCCATTATGAATTAATAATAAGTAAAACTAATGTTCAAGTCTATTATTTCGAATTAGTATGTAATGAAAGATTTTAAAAGTTATGATTTATGTTTTAGAAATAGCATTACGGCGAAAAATCTGCAGACTGTGAAAAATTAATAACAATATAAAAACGTTATTAAAAAATAAAATCGGATAATGATTTCGATATAATAAACTGCCCCGGCTCCAGGGCAAAGTGGGTCAGATTCGATAGCAAAGCAGGGTTCAACAAGAACTCCTCAACCCTGCTGAATTATTTAATATTACCTGAAAATGGGATCCATGAAGCAATGGTATTAAAGGAAATACCAAACCGGTGGACACAATAGATCCACTCCGGTCCATGGTATATAGGATTTTCGCATCCAATTTATCAATAATTAATCTTAGAAAAGGCGTATTTACGGTTTTGTGAAGTAGCAAAATGTTTAATAAGTTGAAATATTTAATAAATAATTAGAACTGAGCGTGGCCTATGATTTTTGCATCACCGAATTCAAAAACGTTACGGAAGCCGTCTTCTTCAGAAGGTTCAACGTCCTTCGAAAGGCATTGAACGTCATCAAGGCTACGAGTCAAATAATTAATTAACCGAAGAGAAAGTTAACTTAAAACGATGATTTCATTAGTCAACTTCGACGCCTGTTCAGGCGTAAAAAGCTAGCGGGCCGCCGATTTTCAGGTCTCTACCCCCGGGCCTAAACTTCTGACTTTTATTTATTTGACCTCCGACGAGGTCGAAAAGTGATTTGTGGCCTCGGAGAATAACAGTATTGAAAATCGCAAAGCTCGAGAGTTCGGATAATTGCACACACGTACGTGAGTGAGAGTGAATACTAATATTGCTGTTCTATGTGTACTCTTCAAACAGAAGCGGTGATTGTTTCTATTATTTTCACTTGTAGAGATTTGGATACGTCAATAGAGAGAAAATTGGCTGTATATGTTTTTATAATCGGATCAAACCCCTCGAGCACCCTATACACCAATGTACGATTTGTTAGAAGTTGGTCACGGTCGTGACCCCATTGCATCCTCTTTCAAAACAAAAAAAAGAATAATAACGAACTACAAAAATAATACGGCATTGATTTTTTTTCAAATATATCATTAAAAATGTAAATCATTACTAATACCCTAAGATTTGCACAATAATACGGTCGCGGTGCGCAAGGTCTTAGAAGTGCCGGTTCCATTTAACCTTTACGTTTTAATACCCTAAGATCAAACCGACTTGTATCAATTGTTATTATTTTATCATTTAAATAATAATATCTGTATGAAAAAAATGACAGAATTTTGGTACCAAAGGAACATATTTAAATCCACTGATTAACTGAAAACAACCATTTTTTAATGACTGTTCGGAACAGCAGAGGTTATATCAACCCTCGGGGTGCCGGTGTTTTTGAAAAAACCCATTTGTAAGTATGTCGGGTTCGAATACTGGGCCGCTGGATTCGAACCCGGGACTTTTACCTTACAGTGATGAGCGTTGTGGCAATGCCTAAACCGCTGCGACCACCGACGCCCCACTAAGCTGACAATTATTTTGCCAAATATGTATTTGGATGTAATGATTCCCTTCTTTTTTGTCACACTCGTTCAACAGCTATCGATCGCGTAATTCTTGGGACAATTATGCAAAAATGATCTCAGTTCTCTGCCCGGTTCGTGACTCGGTTTCGTCTTCTTTTCAAGTGTAATTTAAACTTGGAAATTCTTAAACTCTCCTTACAAGGCAAAAAGGAGATGGTTTCAAAACGGTTTTTCGTAATCCCAAGGCCCGACCGTGGGGAACAGTTCCAAGCGTACGCGCTATCGTGAACCTTATGATGGATTTTGCATCCGACCACCAAAATTGCCCCGTTCCACAGCCCAAGCACGGTCATAAATAAAAGCCCACCGTCTACCCATTTCGACCAGTTATTTCTACTTTCCTTCATCTGAATAAGTCACCGAAGCCTAATAAAAAACACGTATAAATTATGTAATTATAAATATTATTGACAAGGAAGTGAATACTACCAATATTGCTAGAATGTTGTTAGTATTATTGGGATATATCACTAATGGAAATGTCTGATAACCCAAAACAAAGAGGATGGGCAGACTAAAATTCACTGAAAAAAATGTTTTTGTCTGATACATGTTTTGAAACATTTTATGTCTGAAACAATAACAAAATATACATACATTTTGATATATTATTCATATAATAATTAATTAAAATTATTTCACCAAATTGTCTATACCTGCAGAAAATATTGATTAATGGCTTTGATTACATACAAACGAATGATTGGTGGTTGTTGCAGCAAAAAAAGTACTTCTCCAGATTTAAAAAAAATGTTATAGTCTTTAAAAATTGTAATTTCCAACATTTTGTACAAATTACAATTTTTTGAATATTTAAAATTATTTTATTGGCTGCAACAATCACCAACCACTCGTTTGGATTAATTTTATTTATATAAAATATAAATGACTGTTCATGGCTATCCCTCCACACAGAGTACGCCATATTGAGAGATGGCCCAAATTGCGAAATAAATAAATAAAAATCAATATTTCTTTAAAAGATGAGAAACGTCGCACTTGCTAAAATATTATAATGATTGTAAAATCGATCTAGGAAATTTAAACGTTAACATTTGGCAATCGTTTATATACGTTAAAACTATGAGTAAAAAAAGGTCCAATTACATATTTATTAATTACGTTATTAACAATTTGTTTAGCGACATATTGCTTATTTCAGGTCTATCCGATGGGGTACAGTAGTTGTAGTATAACTTTCTAAAATCAGTTGTTTTAGCTTAAATGTATATTGATTAAAATTAATGAGTTTATCAGACAAATATTTAATAGTAGAAAATAATAACATTATTATGTTTACTTAATTTCTTTAGATGGGAAAAGAATAAAAAATTGTAGGATTTAAATAACCACAAAGGTTGATAGCCAAAAAATTTAAAAAAAATCATTACTGATCAAGAATCATAAAATTTTAAACAATCTGGTTTTGGCCTTGTCTGTATTATATAATGATAAATTTAAAAATGAGTGTGTAATGATAAATTACATAAAACATATTTCAAAAATTGGACAATAAAATTTTATTTATTCTTTACAATAATTTTAATGATTTCAGATCAACTAAACAAATCTATATTTGGCTTATAAAAGGAAGTACAAATAATTGTATAAGCAGGAAATCGCCGAGGAAAAATTATATATAGATATGCTTTGATGCTACCTTACTCCCTTTCTTATGAATAAAACATAAAAGGGAATTATAGTTTCTATCTATAATTTGAAAGCATTACGCGATAAACTTGTACATGGTCGTTTGATTTCTACCATTAAAGAAAAATAAGACTTTTGTTAAAAAAATTGTTTGAAATTGTTAATGAGAAGGACAATTATAAAAAGATTGATTGAGATTTTACATAAAAATGTTTCCAAAACAATTCGAAGAAATAAAGTTCGTTTACATTTTAATGAGGTGTGTATGTGTCCAAAAGTTTCATACTCGTCTCAAAAGGTCATGAAACTGAATTCAATAAAGTTACACATAATCAATCGTAGGTAAAGTTAAAATTTGTATAAAAAATAAATATTTAACATAAAACAGAATGCGTTTGAGATGCACTCTGATGCTGTAACGCTGAACCCAGTCCAGCCTTTTATGTTGTTAGTCCGGCGATGTAACATTATTCCATGTGGTGAACGTGCACAGTAACGCAATTCATATCGCGTACGACACGGTA